ATAAAATATTTATAATAAATATAAATATAATTTAAATTATTATATTCGTAACTTAACAAAGATGAACAAAATTAACCATTAAATGAATTGTATAGCATTATTTTCCAAAGTTGGTATCAACGAAAACTCCTTGAAAACTGCAAATCAATAATCTATTCTTCAATAACCAAACAGCACAATTTGGTCGACATTGACTTTTTGACTTCTCACTCAGTCGACCGAGCCCAAGAAGTTCGGTGGTCGTGGCGCCAGAGCTAGGTTCCAAAAGTCTTATCGTTGAAGTATCAGAAAGAAAAATGTTCTTCTTATGGTGGTTTTTGTCTCATTTTTTAGCCCTTTTAATGTTCAACTGCATTACTGATATTATGTTGTTTGCAGTTATTCAATGCTAGAAATGTTTTGATTCTAATTTTCCAATGCAAATTTTATTCTATTTTGCTTAAGTAAGAGCTACTCTTCAATTGATTGTGTTCTTTTACTTTATGCATTAATGGGGTTTTAGACTAAACTCTGCTTGATCATAACCAGTAGCCCTTAAATTTGTATTCAGAAGTTCGAATTTGATTCTGGATGGTAGTTGCTCTTATTGGGATTTGTTTTGATTCTAATTTTCCAATTCAGTTTTATTCTATCTTGCTCAAGTAAGACATACTCTTTAATTGATTTTGTTCTTTTACTTTATGCATTAATGGGGTTTCAGACTAAACTCTGCTTGATCATAACCAGTAGCCTTTAAATTTGCATTCAGAAGTTTGGATTTGGGTCTAGATGGTAGTTGTTCTTTTTGGGATTTGTTTTATATACTTATGCTTTAGCTAAATGTGCACTTTAGAAGAATCTAGTTTTGCAAAAAGATGTCTGTTTTAGTTATTTTTGGCTTTTAAAACTGGCTCAATTGTTTGTGAATTCCTGCTTTAAGCCTGAACTCTAGTGATACTATTTGAAGTTAACAGGGCCAAATGCATGTGTTTGATGGGTATTGAATTTCATTCCCTTTTGTTTTGACATTTGTTTTTCCCAAATAACTGGATGGTAGTATTTAGTCCTTGAAGGGTATGTTTTAATCTTTAGATGATTTAAATGGTGCCAAAGACTTGCTTTACAGTGTAATGCTTGTTTCAAACCTTGATGAAGACTGTAGAGGGTTCATGTTGATTTGAAACCCCAATGATATG